GTTTTTTGTTTTTTTTTTTAACAGAGCATAGGGTAGTGGTTTATTTGTAGAAGAATGGGTGCTCCACATTTATGGCTGTACCATAAAGTCCACACTCAAATACAGATCCTGTGACCTCCCAACAGCCACACAAAATTGTGAGAGAGGTGCTTCTTGATGTCCTTGGCTTATATATCCTTAGCCCCTCCCCCACACGCAGCTAAGGTTGACTGATTGGGTGGGAGGGGTAACTGACTCCCCTCTCCTCCTTGATGAGCGTGGGAAGGAGGTATGACTATAACTTGCCAACATAGTGGTTGGAGGACACTTCCAGTTAACACTCCACCCCTTCCTCTGGCTCTTAAATTCTTTCTGCCAACGTCTCCCACAAAAGTCCCTGAGCCTTGGAGGAGGTGGTAGGTGTGGGATGATCATCTTCCTGTTGTGGCAAGGCACTGAACTTTTGGGTCTCTGCATCATCTGTTTCCCATGGGCTGTTGGCCAGTTTGAGTGGGATTCCATCTACACCACATGGAGGCCAGATCCAGGTGCTCTCAGGTAATCTGCTGGGTTCTCAGTGTCTAAACCAGATGGAGACCAGAACAGCCACTCTCAGGCTGCCTGTGAAGGTCTCAGCCTTCCAAGAAGAGGTTTTATCATGGAAATTTTAAATGCTAAAGTGTACCAATCTCCTGATATAATACTATATCCATGTACACTGTGGATCATAGTTATATCTTGCAGTAGTTTAGATCCTTATTCCCTTTCTGTACTAGAATTATTCCTCATTTGCCATGAAAGAATGTATTTTTTTCACTTCATTAGTGTTGGGCTTTTGGCCATTTGACTTAGTTCAGTCAGTGTAATGTGGATTAGAAGTGATTGTGCTAACTGTTTGGATGTGGATGCTTCCACTCAGTCTATTTCTGTCCCTAAAACCCCTTAGGAAAAGAGCATCCCGATGTAGCTGATGCCTTATGATCTTAGGATATGTACAACAGATGGGAACTCAACCATAAGCCTGTATTCCAACCTGACCTAGCTGAGCCCAGCCTAGATTGAAGAACCCAACTGTTCCAGTTTCCTTTCTATTGCTGTATTAAAATACTCTGACCAAAGCAACTTGGGGAGGAAAGGGTTTATTTGGCTTACATGTCCAGATCATTATGTATCATTGAGGAAAGACAGGGCAAGAATTCAAGGCAGAAACTTAAAGGAGAAACCTTGGAAAAAACTGCTTGCTGACCCACTCTCTAGATAGCTCTCTCAGCTTTCTTTTTTTTTTAAACATTTTTTATTTCTTTTTTCTTTTTTAAAAAAAAATATTTTTAGCCGGGCGTGGTGGCACATGCCTTTAATCCCAGCACTCAGGAGGCAGAGGCAGGCAGATGTCTATGAGTTCAAGGCCAGCCTGGTCTACATAGTGAGTTCCAGGACAGCTGGGGCTACAGGGATCCCCTGTCTCAAAAAGGCCAAAAAAATTTTATTTTTATGTGTATGAGTGTACTGCCTGCATGTATGTAAGTGCACCTGTGTCATGCAGTGCCCGTGGATGTCAGAAGAAGGTGTCAGATCCCCTGGAACTGGAGTTATCGATGGTTGTTAGCTGCTATGTGGTTGCTGGGAATTGAACCCAGGTCCTCTGCAAGAGCAGCCAGTGCTCTTAACTGCTGAGCCATTTCTCCAGCCCCTCTCCTAGCTTTCATATACAACCCAGGCCTACATGTGTAGGGATGGTGCCACCCATAGTGGACTCAACCCTCTTCCATCAATAACCAGAATTTTTCATAAACAGCTCAAAGTACTGAACCCTAATAAAAACTGGGTATATCATTCAAGTTTCTCACCTCTCGAATGTGGTACAGCTTCCCTACCTCTAAGCCAACGTGAATTTCTTGTTACCTACCTTGCTCACTGCTACACATTGAATTTGAACCGGAAGCTATGGTTATGGCCAATAGAACTAACATTTGAGGCCAATACCCTGTAGTTGCTTGACACCTCTCACTTTATTTGGAATTCTGGGAAATTGTGTTATTTTTATTTTGTAGACGTGAAAAGAAACTGAAATGTTACATAGAACTATCTGGAGGTGCCAGAATTTGAAACCAGGAGTACTTGATTATAAAGTGACTGCTGCTTCCCCTTCAATGGAACTCTCACCTCTTCTGTTGTGTTCCCCAGGTAGATTTACACTTACGTTCTTGTAGTTTCATGTGTGTAGTTCTTTTCTCCCAGAGTAGTTAACTGAATACTCAATACCTTTTTTATTTTTTAGAATTCTTACAAATATACCAGGAAATGAGGGAAATTATATACAAGGAAATGAGGGAAATAATGAATACACTTTTCACTATATTAGTCTAAGGTGTATACTGTATTGCAAAATAAAGTCCCTTTCAAAATAAGTTTAATTCTGTATGCGCCTCCTTTTAATTCTGTGTGCTCCTAGCTTTTTGGGGTCCCACCCAAAATTAATGTCTGAAACCCAAAGTGATTAGTATTTGTGAATACTAATTCCTCCTCACTCAAGCACATCAATAAGCGTGCGCTGGAAAGCACCTATGGCGGTCTTCTAACTAAAGGAGACGCAAGGATGCCCCGAGCTCTCCAGCCTCAGGCCCTCGGACCTCTTGCGGTGACGCTTTGACAGAGGACAGGCTCTGAGTCACATGCAGCCGGAGCCGGCGCGTACTCGCCAGTCTTACGGAATAACGCGCCTCGAGTTGCCAGGGGGCGGGGCGAGGCGCGGAAGGGGCGGGGCGGAGGCCGACGGGGGCGGGGCGCACAGGGCAGAGGCGGGCGGGGCAGCGCAGGGGCGGGGCGGCCCGGCGTATTATGGGATGCGGCGGTGGAATGGCGCTGGGCGCGTGATTTTGAACAAACCCGGGTCTGTATCTTGGAGGCGCCGCCGCCGCCGCGACTGCTGGGAGCCGGGGAAGCGCGGAGCGAGAAGGAGGCGGCGGCGCCGCCGGGTCGGGTGAGTGTCAGCTCCGGAGACCGGGGCTGAGCTGCGGGAACGGGCGCCGGGCCCTCTGGGCGCCGCGCGGAGATCGCCGGCCGGTTCCCTTGCAGCTGGGCCGGTGGGCCGCGGTGGGAGCGGGAAGCCGCTGGCCGGGCTGCGGCGGGCGGAGCGGGACCAGCGCCCGGGAACGCGGCTGTCACTCGACGGGGCCCGTGCGGTCCGCCTGGTGTTCCGGAGGAAGGGCCGGGCTGCTGTTGACACGCACCCAGCGCGCCCGGGGAAGGCTCCGCGTCGGCCCTGGGCTTCTGGGAACCGGTTTTGCTGCTGTGTCATTTCGTACCAGCGCCTCCTTTTGCTGCTGCCCGCCGCCGCGTTCTCCTGTGCCCCTTTGTATGGACTCCTCAGAGTGTGTGTCCGTTTCCCTCGCGAAGCCCACCAGCCAAATGTCATAATGTTCCCGCGGTGCACGGGGAAAGGGAGCCGGCAGGGACTCAGCCTGGTCAAGCAACGGTAAACAACCATCCGAGTGCGGGTGGACCGGGGAATAAAGTTTAAAGGTGAACAACTTAGGATCACCTTCCTCGCTCAGCGTCTAGCAGGCTGCATAGAAAAGCGCGGCTCGGAGTGGTTGGGAGAGAGCACTTGGTTAAGCCTGAGCCTCCTGACTTTTATATGGAGTTGTCATTTAAACAAGGTAGGGAAATGGAAAGGTTTCTGATCCTACCTTATTCTTAGGCAAACTTAAGGCAGTAAGTAGCCTTGCTCACAACCGTGAAATTCAGTATGCTCGTTTCCACCAGATCCTTTAGAGCTTGTGTTGTAATTGAGTGGTAAGTACTAGAATAAAGCTTTTTGAATGGGTGTTTATTAAATCTTTCTGAAATTAACAAAATGGCCACATTTTTTGAATGCTGGTATCATCAGAAGCCTTGCAGCTTATATGTTTTTATTCCCTTGATGCTTAAAAAAAATACTCATCTTTTTTTGCGGGGGGGGGGCTACTTACTAAACTGAATGATGAGAGGAACTGGTAGGGGTGGATAGGGAAGCCCGGGGTCTTGTCTAAAGCAAGCTATTTTTTTTCACTGTGTTGAACAAGTATATCAGCAGCAGATGGTTTTTAACTTGGTGGCGTAGATCCTAAAACCCTTTGGCAAGGGATTCTAGCTTAGTACTGTGTTTTCTTTATGTTTTGAGTTGATCATGAACGCCTCCACAATTGAATCAATACATCGGGTGGATAGGTAAGCCCGGGGTCTTGTCTAAAGCAAGCTATTTTTTTTCACTGTGTTGAACAAGTATATCAGCAGCAGATGGTTTTTAACTTGGTGGCGTAGATCCTAAAACCCTTTGGCAAGGGATTCTAGCTTAGTACTGTGTTTTCTTTATGTTTTGAGTTGATCATGAACGCCTCCACAATTGAATCAATACATCTTAAATTTAGTGGCACTTTGACGTTTTAAATCAACCGCAGATTAAAGTCATAGTGTTCATGGACAGAACTAGCCAGTTAAGTGGAAAGGAAAATAGTTCAGAACTTTATTTTTAAGAATTATGAAATGTGAGCACTGTCTGCTGAGGAGCAGAGCCTGTAATCTGAAAGGTATCGGAGAGGTCAGACATGTTATGGAAGTAGCTTATGCTGTCAAAGTAGTTCTGTGGGTGGAGTAGACTGTCAAAGTTGGTGAGTGACTTTAAAGGTCTCATAGTGTCTGAAATGTACATGAAACGCCCTCTACCATCTCTCACGAGTGCTTTTCTGGAAATGAAGAGTTTGGGTTCCTTATTGTTCTTATGTCACCTTCCGCATGCCTTTTGCTCTTCGAAACAAAAATATCCCGGACTTGGAACCCGGCAGGTACTCGGCTCCCCTTGGTTCCTGCGGGCGGGCGGGAGCCGGGTGTCTGGTCCCTGGGTGAAAGGTCTGGCTCAGCCCCACCGTGGAGCGGTTTGAAGGTTGGCGGGGCGGGCGGGAGGTTTCCCCGGATATGTGGGTGTGCGGCGCTTGAGAGGGCGGGCCGGGGCGGGAGCAGGAGGAAGGGGGAGGTGACTGGCAGCGGCGGCGGCGGCCCGGGCTCGGCTGTCGGGGAAGCTGCTGAGCTGTGATGGTGATGACGAGGTGAAAATGGCGGATCTTTCGAAATACAATCCCGGCCCCTGACATACCAGAGGCGGCGGCCGCGACGACGTCGCCACCCGGGCTCCCTCCTGGGTCCCGGGATACGCTGTAGCACTGCAGTTCGGGTAAAGTGGGAAAGGAAGCGGCTGGACAGAGCTACCGTGCACAGGCAAAATAAGCACTGCCCGGGCTGGGAATTGCTCAGGACCTTCTGCAACCCGCTCCTTGGAGCCCAAAGGCGGAGAGAGCGGCAGTCGCTGGAGGTAGAGAAGGGGGTTACCCGAGGGCCCTCTGTCTGGAGGTCTTTTTATTTGGGGAGGCAAGGGACTGTGGGAGAGGAAATGCGTTGCGGACCTAGAATGACTTGTCCGGAGCACAGAGAACAGTAGCCTCATAATGACATCAACATTATTCTTTGAGTATCAAGAGAGCTCGAGTTTGCTCTAACACTTACGGCTGCTGCTGAGGCCTAGAGGATTCACTAGTACTTACCATGATTTCCTGATAGAATACTTAATATACCCACTCTGGCGGGGGTTGGTTGATGGTGTTCAGCGGTTTAAGGGGTTGTGTTTCTTTGGGGAGGCAGAGCATTGGCATTTTCTTCCACATTTAACATGTATCTTAGATCATAATCTATAACTTGTTGGGGACTGAATCCTTTTTTTTTAGCATATGGACCAGTTTTGTACTAATCAATTTTTTTTTCTTTTATGGCTCTGTCATTCGTAGTGTAGCACCTTTGACCCTGCCACTTGGCAAATAACAATTGAGATACTGTCAGTCATATTTTCCACCTCTGCTTTTCAGGGAAGTAAGTTCTTCTCTGCCCCCATCTAATTTCCTGAATTCAGAGAGTAAAGTTATAGAAGATTTTACAATAGTCTAAGCCCTCCAAGTGAAAGTCAGTTTGGGGAGTGTTGTTCTGCTCATGAGTTTACCTTCATTGTTTAGTAGAAATTTGATGGCTTGATGCAAGCTGTGGTTGTGAGCGCATTGTTGGTAAAGATAAATTGAAACCTCTGTTGTATTCCAAATGCTGGGCTTCCAAGCTCTTTGTTTAGATAACAGAGCACTAGCTGCTCTGTTGATTGACCTTATAATGGCCTCAGAAAGCTTTTGTTAAGTTGTCTAATGATCTATATATCTTTTAGATTGTGCTGCAGGATCCCTAAGCAGTCTGCCTCCTTGCATACATCAGTAATATTACTAAAAGGCTATACATGTTAATCAAAGTTTTATACACTGATTTGGGGGGCCCTCCTTTTTTCCTGTTTTAGTGGGTCAAAGTTGGATCAGTGACCCTAAATTATGAGAGTGAACAGAGAAGTTAATATTTAAGAAATGCTCATTTGTAACAAATTTGAGTAGTGATAAATTTCCTTTTTCAGGTTGTCTACAAAATGGTATCATATTATGCCATATAATATACCACATATTGTATATATCCAGGGCAATTAGTTTGGACTGTTGTCTTTCACTCCCTACAAGAGTGAGAAGCTGAAGAGTTTTTTTTTTTTTTTTACAGTAAATACCTAACAGATACTTAGATTTAGTTAATTATTATTGTTCATTAAAAAATATAATTTGAGGAGCCAGTGAAATGGCTCAGCAGGTAAAGCCCTAACCTGAGTTCACTTCCTGGAACCTACATGGTAAAAGGACAGTGTCAATTGCTGCAAGTCGTTCTGACTTCCACACAGCAAGTATGCCCCCTCCCCAGTACACGCTAAATAAATACGTAAATAAACACATAAATGTCAAAAAATAAGGATTGGGGCTGGAATGCTGACTCAGAGGTTAAGAGTGCTTCTTGCTCTTCTAAACGACCGGCTTAGGGTTCCCAACATTCATGTCACATGACTGACAACCACCTGTAACTCCAGCTGCAGGGCATCTGATGTCCTCTTCTGGCCTCCTTGGCCACCTGCACACTCATGGCATACACATGAGCACACACATAGATAGATCTTTTAAAAAGAAAAGAAAAATTATATGTATATATGTGTATATATATATGTCTCCATATCCATATATATGTAAAATTTGATCTTGCATTATCTAATAGGAATTGAGTTCTTAAATTTTTAGTTTTTATGTGGCAATTTTTGGGTTCACATCGAGCAGCTTACTTAGTACTTAAAACTAAGAATTTTTAAAATTTGGGATAGCAAAATGCCTTTTCATTGGTTTTCTCTGCTTGTTTGTTTGCTTATAACAGGGTTTTTCTATGTAGGCCAGGGTGGTTTCTGGCTTACCAGCCTCCTGCCTGTACCTCCTTAGTGCTGGAGTTAAACTTCTGTGCCACCAGGCCACACTGGTTTTAATTATCAACCCTATTGCCTTTTTCTAGTGATTGTTGATAACTATCTTCCCTTACCCCTTCCTTTTTTTTTTTTTTAAGCAAACTCTGGCAGCTCTGTGTGTGTGTGTTTGTTTTGCCTGTATGTAAGTGCACCCTTGTCATGCAGTACCCTCAGGGGTCAGAAAACAGCATTGGATTCCCTGGAACTGGAGTTACAGACAGTTGTTAGCTGCCATATGGGGGCTGGGAACCAAGCCTAGCTCTTCTGCAAGAGCAACTAATGAATGTTCTTAACTGCTGAGCCATTTTTCCAGCCATACCCCTCCCCTTGCTCTTTTGAGAAAGGGTCTCTTCTACTCTGAAGTAGAGGCTGGCCTGAAACTCATGGTGGCCCACACTAGCCTCCAACTCAGAGCAGTCCTCCTGCCTCAGCCTTCTAAGTCCTGGGATTACAGGTATGAGCCTGATTTGTGATTACCTTTTATTTTTTAATTTTTAAAATTTATTTTTAGGCAGGGTCTCCTGTAGCCCCAGCTGGCGTGGAACTCACTATGTACACTAGGCTGGCCTCAATCTCCTAGAGATCCACCTGCCTCTGTATCCTGAGTGCTGGGATTAAAGGCATACACCACCACACCTGGCATGTTATTACCTTTGAAATGCCCAGTTTTCAGATTATTTTAGTAAGACAGTTGTCTATTAATAATTATAACTGTATTAGAAAGGAACAAAGGAAGAGTTTTGCATCAGAAGAAAGTTCAGTATCCATTTTGTTTGGAGAGAAGCATTATAGATTGTTTTGAGATAGGTTTTCACTGTATTGCTCAAGGTGACCTGGAACTGGAGGTTCTCCTGCTTCGGCCTCCCTAGTGCTGGATTATAAGTGAATGCTATCAAGCCAACTTTAGAGTCTCATCATTGTTTTTCATATACTTTTAGGTTGAGCATCTCTAATCTGAAAATCCAAAATCCAAAATGTTCCACTCAAAAAGTTTTAGGTTTTGGAACAGTTTGGATTTTAATGGAGGATATGGTTAGAAGTAAAGGCTTATATATCTATTCCAAAATGTGAAAACTTTGGGAATCTGAAACACTTCTGGTTCCAAGCATTTTTAGATAAGGAATAGTTATCTTGTATTGGGGTTCTGTGTGGGTCATATAGTATGCTAGAGATACAAGATAAAATCACCTCAATATTATTGCCTCAGAAAGCTTTCAGTTTGAGAATCTTTGGAGGTAAAGTTGGAACTATAGGTTAAGAGGGGCCTTACTTCAGAGAGCTTTAAGTTACATAAAATTTTTGAGTAGGAGAATGACAGCCTCAGAAATGTACCTAGGATGACAAGTTCAATAATGTTTACATGTAAGATGTAATATTTATATGTAATGTTTATATATAGATGAGAGAAGACAAAAATACCAGAGTATACTCTAAGCTGTGGAATTTGCATACTGTTGATTGCAGAAGACTGGAGTCATTGAAAAGGCACAATCTGTGTTACAATTAATATGTCTGTAGAGACACATCGAAGATTGAAAGAGCTTTTTCTAAGAAAACTTTATTAACATTTATTAGTGTGTTGTGTGTGAGAGAAGGGGGGGGAAGGAGGGGGGAAGAGAGAGAGAGAGAGAGCAAACTCATGTGTCATGGCCCATGTGTAGAAGTAGAGGACAACTTGCAGAAGTTGGCTCTCTCCTTCCACCATGTAGGACCTTGGGATTCAATTCAGGCAGTTAGACTTGTAGCAAGCACCCTTACCTCCTAAGCCATCTCTCTGGTCTCACGTTAAAAAATCTTAAGCCTTGTTTTTTCTTTTTTTAAAATTCATATTTTGACATGTAAACTGAGGCTCAAAAATATTGTTATGCCTTGGATTACATGATAGGCAACTAGGGGAGCCTGGAGTTTGGAATTTGAATGCTTGATGTGCTGATAGTAAGCTCTTGGTGGATAAGTCAACCCTGACCACTCAGAATATTCTGTCCAAATACCTTGCACGTTACTTGCTCATCTGTAATGCAGTGCTAGTCACCACCTTATATTGTGCCAGAAATGAAAGCACCTGTTCTAGATTGTTCTCATGTAACTAAGAGAAGAGCAGTGTTTCCAAAAATGCAAAAATTAATCTTTCATGTCTATCTAAATTCTTTTTTATTTTTATTTTATTTATTTATTTATTCATTTATTTATTTATTTATTTATTCATTCATTCATTCATTTATTTATTTATTTATTTATTTATTTATTTATTTATTTATTTATACCGTGTCTTTCTGTAGCCCCAGCTGGCCTGGATTCGCTATGGAGACCAGGCTGGCCTCAAACTCACAGAGATTCGCCTCTGCCTCCCAAGTGCTGGGATTAAAGGTGTGCGCCACTGCGCCTGGCTACATTCTTTTTTAATTTTATATGAATTTACTACTTTTTCATTGTCACCATGCTAAATCAGACTTCTGTTTGTCTCTGCCATGGACTTTTTACTGCAATAGCCCTTTAACTGGTCTCTCCAATATAATACAAGAGTGCAGCTATGGTTGTTTCCCTTGTCAGTTGATATCTAAGCTACTCACAGCTTGCTTTCCCAGCCTTTCACAAAGTCAGGAAGTAGCGTCTGCTAATTAAATGACTGATAAAACTATAAACTAGTAGTAAGTCAGGAGGCCATTGTAGATTTTTAGCTAGAAAGTACTTGCAGTAGATGTTGAAAAGTTTGGTAGTATGTCTTATGGTGATATGAATTTCTTGTTTAAAGTGCTGTTGAAGTCCTAGAACATTATACATGCCCATCTTAGATAGTTATTTTCAAAGCCCAGTATAAACAGTGGTGGAGTTTTTGATGTACCTCTTCTGTTCGGTTAATTATTCATTCTTCATATTTTCTACTGAGATGTTTGCAAATTCTGTTTGAGGCCCCAGGATTAGTGGCATATGGTAGTGAGAAAAGCAAATAAGTCTCT